CTCTCCCTTAATGGCAGTGATGGCAAAGGCTATTTTCCGCCGCCCGTTGATGTTTGTGTTGAGTACTCGCAAAATGTGCTGGAACTTTTCAGGAATCACTAGAGACATGGAGGCAGCAGAGCAGTGGCATATAGGCCTCCTGTGGAAGAGCCTGGTCATTGATTTTTGAGTTTGGTTTTGCATGTGGTAAGAAGCAGGGTGCAGCTTTATTGTTTTGTATGTGGGTATTGAATTGTCCCAGCACCACTGTTGACAAGACCATTTTTTCCTCACTGAATCATTTTCGTGCCCTTGTCAAGTCCAGTTGACTGTAAGGGCAAGGATTTGATTCTGCACTCTTAATTCTTTCCATCTATCTCTGTTTCTATGCCAGGCCCGTACATCCTGTGTATGGGTGCTGACTCTTGTAGTAAGTTTTGAAACCTGAAATTGTTGTTCTTTTTCATGACTGTTTTGACTGTTCTTGGTCCCTTGCATTTTGCCTGTTTCAGGCTCACCATGTGAATTTCTGCAAAGAAGCCAGCTAGGATTTTGGTAGGGATTTTGCTGAGTCTGCATTGAGTTTGGGGAATCTGGCCCTCTTAAGATCCAGCCATTTTTTGGGGGGGCGGGTACCAGGGATTGAACTCAGGGTACTTGACCACTGAGCCACATCCCCAGCCCTATTTAAAATTTTTTTTTTTTTAGTTGTAGATGGATACAATACCTTTATTTTTATTTATTTATTTTTATGTGGTGCTGAGGATCGAACCCAGGGCCTTACATGTGCCAAGGCTAATGCTCTACTACTGAGCCACAACCTCAGTCCCCCAGCCCTATTTTGTATTTTATTTAAAGATAGAGTCTCACTGAGTTGCTTAGCACCTCACTTTTGCTGAGGCTGGCTTTAAACTCGTGACTCTCCTGCCTTACTTCCCAAGCCACTGAGATTACAGGCATATGCCATTGCTCCTGGCTAGGATTTGGACATTTGATAAGGAACATAGGGTATCTTTCTGATTATTTAGGTCTTCAGTTTCTTTCAGCAATGTTTTGTAGTTCTTAAAATGTAAATGTTTATACTTAAATCGATTTATTTCTAAATTTTTTTTTAGTGCTTTCTTAGTGGGATTATTTTCTTTTTCTTTTTAAATATTTATTTTTTAGTTGTAGTTGGACACAATACCTTTATTTCACTTATTTATTTTTTATGTGGTGCTGAGGATCGAACCCAGGGTCTCGCATGTGTGAGGCGAGCGCTCTACCACTGAGCCACAACCCCAGCCCTGGGATTATTTTCTTAATTTTATTTTTGGATTTTTTTTTTTTTTTGCACTTGTGTAGTATTGCAGTTAACTTTTGTGTGTTGATCTTGTATCCTGAAATCTTGTTTTTTAGTTCTAATAGATTTTTAGTGAGTTCCTTAGGACCTCCTAAATACAGGATTATTTTTCTTGTCAGGTAGTATTACTCTAGCCAGATAGATACCCTTTATTTCTCGTATGATTTGCCTAAGTGGGACCTCTGGTACAGTGCCAAGCAAGAGTGAGAAGAGCAGTTAGGCTTGTCCCCTTCCTGCACTTAGGAGGACAATTTTTAGTCCTTCACCAGCGGAGTGTTAGCTTTGGAATTTGAAGATGATACCTTCTCATCCTGGCTTGTTGAGAATTTTTATCATGAAATGGTGCCATTTTTGTCAAATGCTTTTCTGTATTTATGTAGGTGATCATGTGGTTTTATCCTTTCTTTTCACGTGGTGTGTGGCATTGAGTGAGTTGGGTAGTGAAGCCAACCTTGCATTCCGGCGCAGCCGTGGGCCTGGACTTTCTCCTGTGGGGAGTGTTTTGGCTACTAATTCAGTTTCTTTGCATTATGTATGTCTAATCATTTTTTCTGTTTCTCTGTGGATAAATTTTGATGATTTGTCTTCCTGGGCTTTGTCCATTTCATCTCAGTTACCTAATGTGTTGGTGTGTAGTGGTCCACTATCTTCTGGTATAGTTCTTAAAAACATTTCTGTCAGGTTAACAATCTCCTCTTTGCTTCTAGTTTTAGTAATTTGAGTCTTCTTTCTCTTCCTTTCAGTCAGTCTTGGTAACATTGTCCTCTTTGTTCTTTTGGTTTTGCTATTATTCCTCTTTTTTTTTTTTAATATGTACAAATTTGTTATTTGTTCTAGTTAGTCATAGATTTTTGAGGAGACAACCAGCCAGTGCTGCCCTCACCTGCAGTCCCGCCGTGGTGCTGGGTTCCTCTCTTCCTTTGGGTGGGGTGGCCCGTTGAGTGTTTCTGTGTGACATTTCATTTGAAGAGTTGGTTTACTGCAGGAGTGCCCCCTCTCACTGGTACTCAGTGAAACCCTGCAGAACAGAACCAAGCTGCACGTGTTGACGTTCCTGCATGAAAAACAAGCCTGAAAGCCAGGTTGCAAAAGGTGCACGTGTGACGGTGATATTAACATAGCATGCGGCCCGGAGACCTGTTGCACACACTCTCTGGAGTATTCCCCAAGGTGGAAGCACCTGTCTGGGCATTATGCATGCTAAGTACACTTGGCAGCTGCCTCTGAGGATGCAGGAAAGGGAGTGGAACTGAGGAGGATTTCAGCTCTGGGTGACAGAGTGTTAGGATCTGGTGGAACTCAAATCTCTGGGTGATGCTTGTGTGGATGTTTCTCACATTTTAGGTATCATTAAGCTGGCCTCGCAACCTGCAGGGACTTGTGACTCAGGGAAGACCCCAGGTTTCCATCTTGGATGGCAGTAGTCATATCTGTGGTTTGTTGGTTTATGGGGACCAAAGGAACTGACATGTTGGATTCTGAGTAAGTGGAATCTCTGCTTGAGACGACTGTTCTTGATGTCTTCTGGCTTGCAGGAGCTTGGAGCAAACATGCAGGCTGTTGAGAGTGGCTGAAGCCGAGTTGTGGTCATGGGGCCGTCCCTCTGCTTCTTGGTATGCATCATTCCTTTTGTAAAAGCATTGATCCAGCCCCTGTCACTGGCCTGGTCCATGGCCTGTGGTGGCTACGACATCAGCACTCAGGACAGTGCCTGGCATAGGGCAGGTCCTTATTGGCTGAGCAGATGGATCTGAGCTTTCTGGTTTCTTTTTCAGCGTGAGGGCAAATCTTATCCTGATATGTGCAGAAATAAATGTGGTGTTTGGAGTTCCTTTAGAATTGTCTTCTGAAATCACTCTGTTCTCTTATTGACTTACTTGGAAGTCAAGAGTTGTAGCCAGGCTCTTTGAATTCCCTTCACTTCCTGGTGTCCATCCTCTGTGGAGTGAAGCCTTCCTGGACTCAGGATCAGGGAAGCCTGACATGAGCATGTTCCTGCTCACTGCAGCGGTGGCCCCTGGATGCCACTTTTATTCCCCGCCTCGTTCATYCTCTGCTTTGCCCTCAGACCTCATGCATCTGCTCTCTCCACCTAGAATTTTCTACCTGGTACATTTTTCTAGGTCTAGGTGTCAAGCAAAACCCAAGACTGGGTGTCAGTGTTCCCATGGTGTGTCTCGCAGGAACTACCATAGAGCATGACATAGGCTACCTTATTTTTCGCTTCTGAAGCTGTTGTAAAATCCTKAATGATTTGGATTGTGTTGTACTTATTTTTGCTTCCTTCATCCTGTCATAGAGTTGATATCCAACAAYGTTTGTTACATTTTACTGAAAAATGTTCTGCTACAGGCATAGAAATGAATAGAAAGTAGAACACTGCAAAATGACCCAATGTAATGTTTTTTAAAAATATTTTYAATTGTAGATGGACATAGTACTTATATTTTATTTATTTTTATGTGGGTCTGAGGCTGGAACCCAGTGAGATGTGCCACACAAGCATTGTACCACTGAGCTACCACCTTAGCCCCAAGGTAATATTTTAATGTATATGAAAGATGACATCCTCAAGCCAGTTTGGAGGAGAGCTTATAATAAGTGGTATTAGAACAATTGATTTTTTTTTTTAAAGAGAGAGTGAGAGAGGAGAGAGAGAGAGAGAGAGAGAAAGAATTTTTAATATTTATTTTTTAGTTCTCGGCAGACACAACATCTTTGTTGGTATGTGGTGCTGAGGATCGAACCCGGGTCGCACGCATACCAGGCGAGCGCGCTACCGCTTGAGCCACATCCCCAGCCCAGAACAATTGATTTTTAAAAAAGTTTCCTAATAAACACTATGTAGTGAAATAAAGCAAATTATAGATGGATTTTAAAATAAGGGTTAAAGATGTGAAAAAAACAGAAGTGTGAAAAAGCACATAGTTGGGAATTTATGCAGTTTCAGAAAGGGGGGCCTTCCCTTGTGGTCACCACAGTGGATCCTATGTGAAGGAGACAAGAGTGGTGGACCTTGCCACCGGTGACTAGGAAAACAGATTTGTCACTGGTGTTCATTTTCCGTTGCTACTCTAACGAATTGGCAAAAACTTATTGCCTTACAACAATGTATGTGTCATCTCAGGACTCTGGATGTCAGAAGTCTGACAAAGGTCTCTCTGGGCCAAAATCAAGCTGTCAATAGGATCTCCTTCTGGAGGCTCCAGGGAGAACCCTTTTCTTTCCAGTGTACCGTGATAAAACCATTAATTCTTTAGAAACATTATGTTCTTTTGGTGCTGCTGCGTTTGACATTCAGACAAAGTGATGAGAATTCCCAGACAGGCATTCGTATGTGTTTGTGAACAGCTTGTGTGACGGACAGTGCCCCCAAGGGCCTCGTCTCTCAGTGGGTGCCTGAGTTCTGTGGTGGTGCCTGGAGGGCTGCGGTGCCTGTGCAGCCCGTTCTCAGGAAGGGCCTAAATGCCCTGCTTGTGTGTGGTGGGTGGGCCTCTGTGGTGCCACGCATTCCTCCTCGACCTGCCCTTAGGACCTGGCATGGAGGAGGGTTGTGGTGGCCCGTGAGTTGCTGCTTCCACAGTGGTGTGGCTTATGAGGAGCTGTCCCTTCTCCTGAGTCAGTGGTGGGCTCTCAGCAATGCCAAAGAAAAGCTGATTTGTTTTCTCCTTTTTGTTAGCATCCAGCATGTGTATGGAGCCCAGCACCCACCTTTTGATCCACTGTTACATGGCACGTAAGTGACATTTCCTTTCACTTTTGGCTTCACAGCTGCTTTGAGGAGGGCTGAGGTAGCCAGTGTCTTCCTACTGTCCTCCAGCTCACTGAGACTCCCAAGGGCAGGGAAAGTAGCCTCTCATTTGGCAGACGTGGACCAGGCAACTGCTTCTTGCGAGACACCGCTGTCCTTGCCTAGCTCATCCTGCAGTGGGACAGGTGACACAAGGGCTGCAGCTGCGTGTGTTTGGGGGTGGAGCCTTGCAGGACAGGGAGCTGGTGCCGTTAACTGGTGCAGCCTGGCTTCAGGTCGTTCCTGGAGGCTCATCTGACTCCTCCTCTCTTGCCTGCTGCCCTGGTCCTTGCTGCTACACCACAGCAGGTGGGAGCAGAGGGAGTGGGTCTTGGTGGGTACTTGTGGGAGGGTGCTGGTGTGGCTGCAGCACTCACCTGTGTGCACGCTTCCTGACATCTGCAGGGCTGATGTTGTATGTTGTCACATTTCTGGGGAGTCTCCTTTAATGATACTGTTTCCAAACGTGCACACCACAGGCTGTGCTCTCTGCACAGTCCTTGCTGCCCCAGCCCCTCAGCCGTTGCTGTGGGAGCTTTGCTGAGATGCTGGGAGCATGCAACTCAGTTTGCGGGTCCAGACTTAAATGAGTTCAGGCTGTGAGTCTGAATAGCGTTGCCCCGAAGTCCTGTGCTTCCTAGTGGGGTTCCGTGGGTGGGATGACAGCTGCTGCTCAGCTTGGCTACCCTAAAAACCTTCTCCTTGCCGTGGCTGGATCCTCCTGCACTTTGCCTCGTCTCATTATGCTCTCTGTGTGACTCGTGTTTGAGTTCTCACAGCACCTTCCTCTAGACTGAGCGCCTTCCTGAGTGGGGGCTCTTTCCTGCTGATTTAGGACGTGTGCTGCCGCTCCTCTGAGTGGGTGCAGTAATGGTGCCTTTGCTTTGCAGTTTGCTCAAGTCCACACCCAAGGTGCCAACCACCCCAGTGAAGGCCAAGAGGGTCAGCACCTTCCAGGAGTTCGAGAGCAACACTAGTGATGCCTGGGATGCTGGGGAAGATGATGACGAGCTCCTGGCCATGGCGGCCGAGAGCCTGAACACTGAGGTGGTCATGGAGACAGCCCACCGCGTCCTGCGCAACCACAGCCAGCGGCAGGCCCGGCCTGTGCTGCAGGAGGAGCCAGTGCCCACGCAGGAACCAGCACCTGCAACAGAGCCGCTCACAGCTCCAAGCGGGGACCTCCGGCTGGTGAAGTCTGTCAGCGAGAGCCACACATCCTGTCCCGAAGGTAGGTGGGGTGCACCAAGGTAGTGACATGCCTTTCGTCCTGGGAGACAGGAGATGAGAGGGTGCCTGTTGTTCTTATGCAGGACTCCCACCCAGAAAATCTTAAGGTCACCTTCCATGGAGCTGCAGTGTCCCCAGGCAGGGGTGGTGGTCTGTGCTTTTCCCTTCAGGTCCTGATGTGCTTTTCTTTGCTCCTCTGAGCTGTCACTTTCCTCCAGAGGAAGTGGCAGGGCTGGTGGTTTTTGGGGTGATTCCCAAGAGGGCCACTGAGGAGCATGGTGTCTTGTGGGATCCCCATCTTCCTCTGAAAGATGCTGGCTGTGCCGAAGGCTGTCTTGCATCCCTTCCTCAGGTTTAGGGTGCTGTCTCCGCATTTACAGATGAGAAAGCCGGAATCATCATGGTAGCCTTGGATGCAGACCTGTGCTTCGTACCTGGTCTAGTTTTCAAAAACGCCTTCTGGGAATTAATGAACTTCTAAAATGTTCCATGTCTCTTGAGCTAGAATATATGAGTTATTTCACATGATCATTTTTCAGTATTGGAATGTAACAAATTTGAAAGTCTTTAAGCTTACGGATGGACAGCCAGATGTGGCTCTTGCAGCTGATTGAAAGTCCTGGTGATGATGGAAGTACACGCTTCCCACCTTCCCATGCTTAATCCTGCCAGGGTGCTTTCAGCTGTGGCACTCCTGGTGTTGCCTGCTCACAGACTGCTGATGTTGAAACTTGACGAGCTGTGAAGGCCACTTCTCAAGCCCCTGGGGGTCTGGGTTGAATTTGTGACAGCTGCCTCTGTTAGTGATGGTCTTCCACACTCCAGATGCCAGGGCTGAGAGTGGGCAGGACTAGGAGGTGTATGGTGGGATATCCTGAGCAGATGCAAGCTCAGAATGCATCTATCCAGCTGGGGGAACCATGGGATGTTATCCTGCATGCCACCTCCTGCAAAGAAAGCAAAGTGATGGTGCCCGAGGAACTGTGTGGCTGGGAGAGGGCTCTTGAACTCCTTGCTTTGGCCTTCGCCTGCCATGGGGTTGGTCATCTCTCCCATGTCTGCTTTCTGAGCAAGCTTTTTTTTTTTTGGCACCTTAATACAACAACAACAACAACAACAACAAAATAATAATAGTATTTATTGATCATTTGCTGTCGCCAGCGCTTTAATAATAAACTTTGCAGTAGCTCCTTAACCTCATGTCTTCTAGGAGGGAAGGCATTGTCCAGTCCTCTTTCATGGATGAGGCATTGAGAGGCCTAGGGCTGTCCCCTGAGTGGTGGGACTGGTGTTCGGGTCCAGGACACCTGGCTTGGAACCCTGCTATTAGCTGCTGGCCCTACCCCATAGAGAAGGGGTTCTCATCAAAGTGATCCTGCCCACAGGGCCCTGGGGCACTGTCTCTGGACACATCAGGTATATATGTATGTAACTGTGTGTGGTACAGGGCTGGAGATACTACTTAGCATCCTGCATTGCTCAGGGCAATTGATCAGTCTCTGCCCCCAACAGAGACTGATCAGTCTCTTGTATCTGTAGCAGTGAGGCTAAGGAGCCCTGAAATTGGAGGCACCTGCTGGGGACACTGGTCGCATTGGTGGTTGGGAGCAGAACCTGTGCAGTGTAGGGGGAGAGTAGGTGTGCTTGATCCCCCGGTCCTAGCCTCTGAGATCACTAGACATTTTCCTCAGCAGTGGCATGAAGATGGCACACTTCTGTTCTTGTTTTCAGGGACTTAAGATCATAGCTAGGGTGAGTATTAGTGGGGACAGGCAAATTTGTGAGTGGATGAAATGTAGAGTGTCCAGGAGCCAGAGACCCCATTTTGTCTTGTTGTAGAGGGTGCAGGGTAAGGTCATGGAAGTCTTCAGGGAGGAGGGGATGTCTGTTGGTGTCCAGGCTCAGAAGGTCAAGGCTTTCGGGTCTGAAACAGTCTCTCTGGGCAGGGCTGTATCTGACCGTCCTGCCTCTGTGCACTTTGCAGGTCTCTGAAGGCAGGATGGTGCCCCAGCTGTGTGTTCTTCTTGGTATCCTGTGCAGCTGCTTGTGCGTGCTTCGCTTGGGCCCTGTGCATCGCCCCTTAGGGCCCTCTTGCAGGCTGCTCAGGCCATCAACCTGAAGTTCCATTTTACTTTTCTGCTGATAGGAACAGTGTTTTGCCCTTCTGAGCATCCTAAACCGTTCTGTCCTGTGGGGCACAGTCCAGTTCCAGTGATTGTGTTCATGGGCATCTGTGCTTCTGCCTTCCTGTGTGCTGCCTTGGGGACCTCACATCACCTTCGAGTACCTATGGCCTGCCGTAGTCAGCCTTGGTCTTCAGCCCTGCAGGGTAGCTGGATTGAACATGCAGTGTGGTGCAGTGGTAGGCCCTGGGCTCACCAGCCTTGGGCTCACCGGCCCTGCGCTGTGGAGTGATGCAAAGGTCCCGAGCAAAGCATGTACAAGCAGCCACCTGGCCAGATTGTAAGGGGAGGAGGCTGCTGGGCAGGATGAGCTGCAGGGTAGCACTCGTGCCCTGCCCCTCTGCAGCTGCTGCCAGTGGACCTGCTGGCTCCACGGAGCTGAGCTTTGCACCATTCCCTGGCGTGTATTCTTGCTTCCTCTTGTATTCTGTTTTTTGGAAGATGAGGTTGCTGGGTGGGAYYTAGACTAGGAGTCAGAGCCCACAGAGTCTCTTGCCGGTTGGTCCCAGGTAGCACTGCTGTGTGACCTGGAAGCCCTGAGCTCCTTTTCATGGCTGTCCCTGGCCCAGGTTCCTGGATGTAGCATACTGTTATGCCATCCCCAGTGTCCCAGAGAGCCCAAGGGTCCCAGGGGTGTAGCAGCAGGAGATGCCCTGGTGGGGGTGGGGGCCTGTATTTTGCTGCCACTGCAGCCCACCCTTCCTGCCTGGCTTCCTTGGCTTCCTTGAGATGCTGTTYTCTTCCCAGCCTTCCTCCCCAGGGCTGTGACAAGGTCTGGGAAGTGGGCAGGCCAGGGGGAGTCTGGAGGCAGTGGCGTCAGAGGTGCCCTGGAGATAGCAGGAGGTGCTCTTGGTGTGTCTTGGTTCCTCCCTCACTGTTCTCCCGCCTTGGAAGGCTGCATCTTTTCTTGTTACGTGTTACTGGAGGCTCTYTGCCCACATAGTGAGCCCTGAAAGCCACTAAGGGACGGTGGGCACCACAAGTGAGAGGCCACCTTGATGCAGGAGGAGGGTGTGGGCAGCAGTGGGCAGGAGGCTCACCTTCACCTTTCCCTGTTCTTACTCTTGCAGAAACTGCCAGCAACGTGATCCCTCTACAGAGGTCTCAGTCTCTTCCCCACTCGGCCACCACTGCACTAGGTGGGACGTCTGACATGAGCACCCTTGGAGGCTCTGCWCTGAGCGAGAGAGAGGCTTATCGTCTGGACAAGTTCAAGCAGTTGCTCGCGGGCCCCCACACAGACCTTGGTGAGTCCCTGCAGGCTGGAGGACGCCAGTGGCCGTTCTAAATGAGACGCTGGGCATGGTACATAATGCACATGTCCCTGTGTGAGTGCCTCATGGGGGTTGCTGTKCTCCGTTCCCATGCCAGAGCCTGCTAGGACACCAGGGATGCTGACAGCGTCCTGTGAGGGGCTATGTTAATGCCTTTCCAGCTTCTTCTTCCTCTGCGCCTGGATGGACCTCTCCTCCTGTCCTCTGTGGCTCCTTCAGGCTGGCTAGGTGGCTGTGTTTGTTTTCATAAGCATGGGTTGAAGGCTGGCTCACAGGGCRAGGGCTGGCTGGTTACCACCCTCCTGCTCTGCTGACTGCTTTCCTGCCAGAAAGCAGAGGGATCAGAGGGTGGGGAGACAGACAGCTAGGCCCGTGTGGGTCCTGGTTGCGGGCTGGGGGTGGGGGAGGGCAGTCACCAGTGCTGGTCTTCCCCAGAGCAGCGTTGTGGCCAGACCCTGAGGTGTGTGCTCGCCYTCAGTTTCCTCTGGCAGAACCCCACTCTCAGGCAGCTCTGTTGTGAGTGCCACTCTGCACTGGGTGTTTGCTGGATGGTGGAAGGTGCAGTGCCTGGCTGGGCCAGGAGGTGGCGATTGGGGCATGTTGATGGGGGGAGGGCTTACCCAGCCCTTGTGCTCAGGAGGCTGGGGCTGAGGCTGTGAGAGAGGGCAGGACGTAGTTTGGAGCCATGAAGGAGGGGAGATCTGGAAAAGTCTGAAAAGCTTCTGATACACAGCTCCAGTTCTGAGGGGATTTCCTCTGCTTAGTTTCATTTATTTTTTGACTCAGCGACACACGTATGTGTCACAGTATTACAAAGCACAGAAGGGGTAAGTGAGAGTGAGCCAGAGCCTCTCGCCCTGTCTCGGGCTCCACTTCCCTCCTTTTCATTATTCCAGATGTCTTCTTCCAGAGAGAGCTAGTGTGTACATTGTGTTAAACATTGTATTTTGATGTCGTTTATTGTTGCAGACAAGTGGCCACTCAGTTTGCCCTCTCCTAGATTCACCATTCTCTACATGTGTTTGTATGTGTGTATTTTTTCCTGAGCCATTTGAAACTCAATTGGAGATATCCTCTTCTACTCTGGAAAACTTTATTGTGAGTTTTCTAAGAGTGAAGATATCTTCTCAAGTAATCGTAGTGCAGTTTTCAAGTAAAGCAATTCAACATAGACGTTGTACTGTTTTTTTTTTTTTTTTTTGTACTGGGCCACTCAACCACTGAGCCACATCCCAGCCCAATTTTGTATTTTATTTATAGACAGGGTCTCACTGAGTTGCTTAGCACCTCACTTTTGCTGAGGCTGGCTTTGAACTTGTGATCCTCCTGTCTCAGCCTCCCGAACCACTGGGCACCATTCTGTTTTAACAATACTGCTGTAATAATCTGTCGTCCATAGTCACACTGTGCCATTCTTCATCTCTTTGTTCCTAGTACGGAACCCAAGCTGGCTGGTACATTCCTTTTAGTCCCCATATGCTTAGCTTTTCATTGTGGTTTTTGACCTTGATATTTTTATAGAGTGAGTACAGGCAGTTATTTGTTAGAATGTCCCTGAGTTTACTGTTTCCTCATGATGAGATCCAGGTTGATAAGTTTTTTGGCAGGAGTATCATGTAAGAGATTTGTGTTCTTGGTCATCATAGCAGGAGGCATGAGGTTGGTTTGTCCTAACATGGTCATACTGACTCTGGCCACTTGATGGAGGTGGTGCTGCCAGCTCTGCACACTGAAAAGTTACTCTTTTTCCCTTGATAATTAAGAAGTGACAGCTAGGCATGGTGGTACATATCTATAATCCCAGGTGCTCAGGAGCCGAGGCCTCAGTAACTTAGTGAGACCCTGATTCAATATAAAAATAAAAAGGGCTGGGTGTACTTCAGTAGTAGAGTGCTTGCCTGGCATGTAGGAGGCACTGTGCTCAGTCCCCAGTACTGCAGGAAAAAAAAAAAGAAAGCAATTTGTAGAAACTTTTGAGCCTCCACACACACACACATACACACACACACACACATACACACACACACTCACACACACGTATGTATATTTTAACCTTTATTTACATGTGGTGCTGAGGTACATGAGGTACCTCACATGAATTAGGCAAGCACTCTACCACTGAGCTACACCCCCTGCCCCTTACAATATATATATTTTTGCCACATGAAAGGTAATATTTAACTATATGTTTTCCTATAACAGGTCAGGGGGCATCCCTTGGATGCATATCACATAATTTATTTCTCCAGCTCCCTAGGTTATTCCTTGTTTTCTGTTATTACAGACAACTTGAAAACTTCAGTATCTGAACCTCTGATGATAACATTTGCAGAATGGCCCTAGATGTAGGTGGGAGACAGGGAATAGTACAGCATGGCTCCTGTGAGTTTGGCGTAAGAACTGGGCAGCTAGAGGTCCCATCCACCAAAATAGGAAATAAAGGCAGACTGTTGTTGCAGGAGCATGGGCTGTGGTTTATCTGTATTTCAGATGCTTTCTTTGCTAGCGTGCAGTGTGCCTTCTTTGCAGGGTCTGGGAGCAGCTGAGGCAGGGGAGGGGCAGAACCTCATGGTGCTTGTGGGTCAGGCCCTAGATTTGGACTGCCTCTGTGGAGATCCTGAGCGCGTGGGGAGGTCCCGGGCCTCAGGGTCCTTGTGCATCTGGAAGACGTGCTGATGGCAGGACTGAGTTTGCAGATTGAGTGGGACGGTGCATGTAACATGCTTAGGTGAGAGGGCCTAGCACATAGTATGCTCACAGATGTCGTTTACTTTTATTATTGTTATTTTAGTATGCTCACAGATGTCGTTTACTTTTATTATTGTTATTTTATTTTCACTGGCCTACTTACCCTCTAACTTGATTTTTCTGATGTTGATTATTATGGTATGGTAACTTTAGTGCTGAATGATAATCGAGGTTGTTCACAGACAGCTTCCTGTTGTGCTCAGAGGTTTCTGAAAGGCGAGAGGTTAGGAGGTGTCCGAGGGAAACAGATGTGCCTGGTGGGAGTTCTGGTCTAGTCAGGCTGTGCGCACCAGCTAGAATTTCCTTGTGGATTTAGTTATTGGAGCAACTTTTGGAAATTAAAATCATACTTATAAATGAAGCTTCCAGGGTTGTAAGAGAATGAATATGTATGGGTAAGTCAAAAGGTTAGCATGTAGAAGTCAGATTCCTTTGTGAGGTTGGTTCAATTATGGATTTTTTCTTTCTTCAGAATTCTATTTAAATAGTACAATCTAAAGCCAACAGTTAAAGTCAGAGCTTAAACTGTACTGGATTTATATTTAGTGGTAAGAGAAAACATAGTGGGTAAATTGCCTGTTTCTTAAGGCCTGTAAGGTAGCTCCGAGAAGAGTGGAACATATTCCTTTCACATTACGTAAAAACTTAAGTGGCAAATATTTGCCGACTTCGGAGAAGCAAATTGCTGATGTGCGAAGTGCCACAGAACGATCATGCCTGCTGCATATCACCGTCCAGCGAGTGCTGCTTTGTTTAGCTTGTGCTGCTAGGAGCCTGGGGAAGAAAGTAGCAAATAGAACTTAACAGCTCATTCCCCTCTTAGCATTGACTCAATATTTACTCACACAGAGACTGCCTGTTTGAAACCTGRGAAAATGACACTTAGAGGCGTCCTGTTTGTCACGTGTGTCTGGTGAAGGGGAGTATGATTTGGCAATGTGCAAAACACGTGGTTTCCTGAGAGCTGCTGAGCGACTCCTCATAGCGGAGGGCCTGGAGGGCGCACTGTGTGGAGCATTCAGACAGTAGAAGAGGCGGCACCCTGCTCTTGGAGGAGTGGGCCCGGCGTCCAGTCATGTTCCTGATTCCCTGAGGGAGCATCTAGTCTGGCCYTGGATCAGGAGGGTTGTCTGGCCCTGGGCGGAAGGTGGCCAGGTGTGGAGCCCTGTGCCTTGGCAGTTTGGATGTGGGCAGATGCCCTTAGTGTCCATGGCTGGAGGACAGCACGCACAGGACCTGCGGGGCCTGCGGTGATAGGGGAGTCACGTGCTGGCTGTGCCCTCACTCCTATGTGACTGACTCAACAAGTGACTCAGCCTCCCGGTCTCGTCAGCTGTGAAGAGGAGGTCTACTTGCAGGGTCCTTGGTGTTCGCAGGGYCTACTCCTTCAGCCAGTATGTTTGGCGCCCCTGCTGTGTCAATAGTCACTGTGAGGARTTGGGAGCCGGCCCTGAGGGCCCTTCCTTCAAGGAGCTAGCCTTTTAGTGTTCAGGGGCAGATACACTCAGCACTCCAGATGCCAGCGGAAGTCCACAGGCATGCCTGGAGGACACAGCTATGCCGAGAGGTAGCGCTGGGTGGTCAACCAAGACCCTGAAAAGGTGCTTTCTGGCTGAGACCCTTGAAGGGAGGTGTTTGAAGACGGGGAAGGCATTCCAGGGAGAAGAGTGCAAAGGTCCTGTGGTGAGAGAGCTTCAGAAATGCTTGAGAAATGGCAGCTACGGAGCTCTGGCCTTGGTGGGGTGGGGAGAAAGGGAGAAGGCCAGTCGGGTAGGAAGTGGCCAGGTCCCAGTATTGAGGAAGCCAGATGAAGGCTCTCTGCTTTCCTCTGGACACAGTGTGAAGCCTCTGGGAGGTTTGGAACCCGGACTAGTGAAGCTTGGAAGGAAGGACCGTGAAGAATTTCACCAGAGCATTGCCTGGGGCCCTGGACTAGGTAGATTCCTTGGGCAGCCTTGCTGGTATGGAGGTAGGGAGGGGCAGGGGATCCTGGGGTGGTTGATGGAAGATGAAGGCCCTGGGGATGGGTGGGGTGGGGTGGTCAGTTTCTGGCACTGCTGGATGGAACTGGGTCTCGTTGGTTGGGCATGATGTTGGGTAGACTGGGAGAAGGAGGGAGCCAAACCATCAGAACCTGGAACCTAGGGGTTGCAGGAATAGGGGATAAAAACCAGAACATGTTAGGAACTGAAAGAAATATGTCGCTTCAGCTGGGAAACAAAGTC